TGTCATGTCCTCGGAAATCTGAAGCCTCGCCATATCCTGTCTGATCACCTCTCCCCAATACTTCTTAGGCCGCCTCTACCTCTTCTCGCGCCTTCCACAACCAGCCGCTCACACCTCCTTACTGGAGCATCTGGGCTTCTCCTCTGTACATGCCCAAACCATCTGAGCCTCGCTTCCCGCATCTTGTCATCAATGGGAGCCACGTGCACCTTCTCCCGAATATCATCATCATTTCTAATCTTATCCATCCTAGTGTGCTCGCACATCCACCTCAACATCCTCATTTCTGCTACTTTCATCTTTTGGATATGTGAGTTCTTAACAGGCCAACACTCAGCCCCATACATCATGACCGGTCTAACCACCGCTTTATAGAACTTACCTTTAAGTATCGTTGGCACTCTCTTGTCACACAAGACTCCATATGCTAACCTCCACTTCATCCATCCTACCCCAATACGGTGTGTGACATCCTCGTCGATCTCCCCTCCCCCGTGGATAACCGAACCAAGGTACTTGAAGCTATCTCTACTTGGGATAACTTGAGACTCAAGTCTCACATCCACGTCCACTTCTTCCGGCCTAGCGCTGAACTTACACTCGAGGTATTCCGTCTTCGTTCTGCTTAGCTTGAAACCCTTAGACTCAAGAGTCTGTCTCCACACTTCCAATCTCTCGTTAACACAGGCTCGTGACTCATCAATCAGAACTACGTCATCGGCGAATAGCATGCACCATGGCACCTCCCCTTGAATATGGTTTGTTATCGCATCCATCACCAGGGCGAATAAGAACGGACTGAGTGCAGAGCCTTGGTGTAACCCCATTTCAACCGGAAAATGCTCAGAGTCCCCTCCTACTGTCCTAACCCGAGTCTTAGCCCCATCATACATGTCCTTAATTGCCATAACATAAGGAACCGACATACCTTTTGCCTCCAAGCATCTCCAGAGAACTTCTCTAGGAACCTTGTCATATGCTTTCTCTAGGTCAATAAACACCATGTGCAGATCCTTCTTTCTCTCTGTACAGTTCCACCAACCTCCTAACAAGGTGTATAGCTTCTGTGGTGGAACGCCCCGGCATGAACCCGAACTAGTTGTCGGATACAAACACTGTCATCCTCACCCTCGCTTCAACCACCCTCTCCCATACTTTCATGGTATGACTCAGTAATTTGATACCACTATAATTGTTACAACTCTGGATATCACCTTTGTTCTTATACAATGGAACCACCGTACTCCACCTCCACTCATCCGGCATCCTCTTCGCCTTAAAAATAACATTAAACAACCTAGTCAACTACTCCACACCTGCTCTCCCTATACACTTCCAAAATTCCACCGGAATCTCGTCTGGCTTGGTAGCTCTGCCCGTACTCATCTTACGCATAGCCCCCACGACTTCCTCGACCTTGATACGCCTGCAGTGCCCGAAGTCACGGTGACTCTCGGAATGCTCCAATTCGCCTAGCACAATATCACGATCCCCTTTTTCATTCAGAAGTTTATGAAAGTAAGTGCCATTTCCTTTTAATCTGGGCATCTTCCACCAGTACTCTTCCATCTTCGTCCTCAATGCATCTCACTTGGTCCAAATCTCGAGCCTTCCTCCCTCTCGACTGGGCCAGCCGAAATAATTTCTTCTCCCCGCCTTTTTCCCCCAGTTCCTCGTACAACGACCATAAGCCGCATTCTTAGCCTCCGTGACCGACAATTTAGCTTACTTCCTAGCTACCTTATATCTCTCCATGCACGCTCGCCTCTCCTCCTCACCTATGCTCTCCACTAACTTCAGGTATGCCGCCTTCTTCGCTTCCACTTTGCCTTGGACCACTTCATTCCACCACCAATCTCCTTTGTGCCCACCAGAGACACCGGTTGAGACCCCTAACACCTCTCTCGCAGATTCTCTTATACAGTCCGCTGCTGCTGATCACATAGTGTTCGCATTCCCACTACTCCTCCAAGTTCCCATACCTGACAACCGACACTCCAAATATATTTAAGATGGTGAATGTTTATTTTGTTTCTACTATTGTATTTGATCATTTGGGTTTTAGTGGATGGTACTATACAACCATGTGCTGTTGGTATGAAAAAATAAAGTTCACCTTTCAAAGTCAAGGCATCAAAACCTCTTTCTGTAGTGTACCAGTAACAATACTTGAAACTTTGGAGCTAGAAAAGGTAAAATGGAGAGAGAAGCCACAATTTGACATATCTTGACTTTTCCATAAACCAATTATGTGCTGGAAATTGCAGAAAATAACCTCATGATAATAGGTTAAGCTCTTGTGAAGAGTTTATGTGTAGTCTGTCACTCGACATGTTCGTTATCATTTCTTCCTGGAGCATGGAATATATGACCTTAGGATGGCAGAATTCTAACAGAGATAAATCTCTTTGTTAGAATAGTTATGTAACCCTAATCCCATATGTATTAGGAGTAGGACATGTTATGTATATATATAGGGCTCATTATATCATGTTTAACAGATGGGAATAATATCAATCATATTTTCTCCCGTGCATTCTCACATGGTATCAGAGCAATTGTGAGAGATTTATCGCTGTGCACAAATTCCAGCGATTTCAGGAAGAGAAATCAGTCACCGGAAGCCTTTTTCCGGCGACATTTTCAAGGCTGTTTGTGTTTGCGTTGTCTCTGTTAGTGTTGTGCAAAATCCTACACTACCACAAGAGTCGCCACTGTCCGGTGACCAAACCCTAGAAAAATCTCCGGCAACAGAAGTCCCACGCGCCGCCACGCGCCACTAGAAGCTCACGCGCGTGAGCTCACATGCCGGCGCGTGCAGAACCCTCCGGCCATTTTTTGAAAAACTTTCTTCAGAACAGTTGGGTCGTGTACCAATTCCGACCCCACCCATACTGTTTTCGTTTGATTCCGACCACTTTGAGTTTTTCCGGCAGCTACAGTAATTTTCCGGCAAAAAAAACAGTGTCTCCATCTGTTTCAGCGAGTTTTCAATTGATTCTTTCTGTTATTTGGTGATAATTTTATAGACCTCACTTCAATCCAACGATGTCTTTGGGAGTCGATGCTTTCGGGTCTAAAAACCCGGGTTTTGGCAGTTTCGGTATTATGATCACCTCAGAACCTTTAATGGGAAGTTCAAACTACTTAGCTTAGGCTTCGTCTGTCGAGTTGTGGTGTAAAGGTCAAGGAGTTCAAGATCATTTAACAAAAAAGGCTAGCGAAGGTGATGAAAAGGCCAAAACACTTTGGGAGAAGGTCGATGCTCAGTTATGTAGTATCCTGTGGCGATCTATTGATTCCAAGTTGATGCCCTTGTTCCGTCCATTCCAAACATGTTATTTAGTTTGGGAAAAGGCTCGTAATTTATACACTAATGACATATCTCGTTTCTATGATGTAATATCGTGAATGATAAGCTTGAAGAAGCAAGAATTGGATATGTCTACTTACTTGGGACAAGTACAGGTAGTCATGGAAGAATTTGAGACATTGATGCCAGTTTCTGCTAGTATTGAAAAGCAACAAGAGCAACGACATAAGATGTTTCTAGTTCTTACACTCGCTGGACTCCCTAATGACCTTGATTCAGTACGTGACCAGATTTTGGCTAGTCCGACTGTCCCCACAGTTGATGAATTATTCTCTCGATTACTTCGCCTTGCTGCAGCACCTAGTCACCCAGTGAGCTCATCACTAACACTTGACTCATCTGTCCTGGTATCCCAGTCAGTGGACAATCGGGCATCTCAAACTATGGAGAATAGACGAGAAGGAGGTCGTTTTGGAAGATCTAGACCCAAGTGCTCTTATTGTCATAAACTTGGAAACACTCGTGAAGTGTGCTATTCTTTACATGGTCGCCTACCCAAAAATGCTTATGTTGCTCATACCGAGACTACATGTAACCAGGGATTTTCTTTATCTGAAGGGAGTATAATGAGTTCCTTCAATATCGAGCAAGTAAGCAGATATCTCCACAAGTAGCCTCTATTGCTCAGACTGATACTTCTGTTGCTGGTAATTCTTTTGCTTGTCGTTTCCTTGTCTAGTACTTTTGGACAATGGGTTGTGGACTCAGCCGCTTCTGATCATATCTCTGGTAATAAATCACTTTTGTCAAATATTGCGTATTCACAGTCTCTTCCCACTGTTACTTTAGCCAATGGGTCTCAAACTAAAGCAAAAGGTGTTGGACAAGCGAATCCCCTACCCTCTATCACTCTAGATTCCGTTCTTTATGTCCCTGGCTGTCCTTTTAATCTTGCATCTGTTAGTCGTTTGACTCGTGCCCTCCATTGTGGTATATATTTTATTGATGATTCTTTTATTATGCAGGACCGCAGTACGGGACAGGCGATTGGAACAAGACTTGAATCAAAAGGCCTTTACTACCTTAACTCACTCAATTCCTCCAAGGCATGTCTAGTTACAGATCCTCCAGACCTAATTCACAGACGTTTAGGACATCCAAGCTTATCCAAGCTTCAGAAAGTAGTGCCTAGTTTGTCTAGTTTATCTACATTAGAGTGTGAGTCATGTCAGCTCGGGAAACATACCCGAGCATCCTTTCCTCGTAATATTGAGAGTCATGCAGAGTCTGTTCATTCTGATATATGGGGTCCTAGTAGAGTCAATTCAACCTTGGGATTTCGTTATTTTGTTAGTTTCATTGATGATCATTCAAGATGCACTTGGATTTTCTTAATGAAAGATCGTTCTGAGTTGTTTTCTATATTCCAGAATTTTTGTGCTGAAATTAAAAATCAATTTGGTGTTTCCATTTGCACTTTTCGCAGTGATAATGCCTTAGAATATTTATCCTCTCGATTTCAGCAGTTTATGACTTCTCAAGGAATTATTCATCAGACCTCTTGTCCTTATACCCCTCAGCAAAATGGGGTTGCAGAGAGAAAGAATAGGCACATCATTGAGACTGCTCGCACACTTCTCATTGAATATCATGTTCCGTTACGTTTTTGGGGCGATGCAGTTCTCACAGCTTGTTATTTGGTTAATCGGATGCCTTCATCTCCCATCCAGAATCAGATTCCGTATGCAGTATTGTTTCCTAAGTCACCCTTATACTCTGTTCTCCCTCGTGTTTTTGGAAGCACTTGTTTCGTTCATAACTTAGCCCCCGGGAAAGATAAGCTAGCTCCTCGTGCTCTCAAGTGTGTATTCCTTGGTTATTCTCGTGTTCAGAAGGGATATCGTTGTTACTCACCTCATCTTCGTAGGTACTTTATGTCCTCCGACATCACATTTTTTGAGTCTAAACCTTTCTTTACCTCTTATGACCATTCTGACCACTTTGATATATCTGAGGTCTTACCTATACCGACCTTTAAGGAGTCTACTATAGCTCCTCCTTCACCTTCCGCCACAGACGTCTTACCCATTCCAATCGTTGGGGAGTCTAGTGTGGCTCCTCCTACACTCCCTGCCACAGGAACACCACTCTTGACATATCATCATCGTCCGCACCCAGCATCAGGCCTAGCTGATTCACGTCCTGCACCTGACCCTGCTCCTACTGCGGACTTGTCTCTTCCTAGTACACCGATTGCACTTCGGAAAGGTATACGGACCACCCTTAATCCTAATCCCCATTATGTCGGTTTAAGTTATCATCGTTTGTCATCACCCTATTATACTTTTCTATCTTCTTTGTCCTCTGTTTCCATCCCTAAGTCTACAGGTGAAGCATTGTCTCATCCAGGATGTCGACAGGCTATGATTGACGAGATGTCTGCTTTACATACGAGTGGTACTTGGGAGCTCGTCCCTTTTCCTTCAGGTAAATCTACTGTTGGTTGTCGTTGGGTATATGCAGTCAAGGTTGGTCCGGATGGTAAGGTTGATCGTCTTAAGGCTCGTCTTGTTGCCAAGGGATATACTCAGATATTTGGGCTCGATTACAGTGATACCTTCTCTCCCGTGGCTAAGATAGCATTAGTCCGCCTTTTTCTATCCATGACTGATGTTCACCATTGGCCCCTCTATCAGCTGGATATTAAGAATGCTTTTTTATACGGTGACCTTGAGGATGAAGTTTATGTGGAGCAACCACCTGGATTTGTTGCTCAGGGGGAGTCTCGTGGCCTTGTATGTCGCTTGCGCCGGTCACTTTATGGTCTAAAGCAGTCAGTCTCCTTGAGCCTGGTTTGGTAAGTTCAACACAGTTATCCAGGAATTTGGCATGACTCGGAGTGAAGCTGATCACTCTGTATTTTATCGGCATTCTGCTTCGAGTCTCTGTATTTATCTGGTGGTCTATGTTGACGACATTGTTATTACCGGCAATGACCAGGATGATATTACTAAATTGAAGCAACATCTCTTTCAACACTTTCAGACTAAGGATCTGGGCAAACTAAAGTATTTTCTGGGTATTGAGGTCGCTCAGTCTAGCTCAGGTATTGTGATCTCACAACGGAAGTATGCCTTAGATATTCTTGAGGAGACAGGAATGACAGGTTGTAGACCTGTTGATACTCCGATGGATCCGAATTCTAAACTTCTGCCAGGATAGGGGGAGCCTTTTAGCGATCCTGCAAGATATAGGCGGTTGGTTGGTAAATTAAATTACCTTATAGTGACAAGACCTGACATTTTCTTTCCTGTGAGTGTTGTGAGTCAGTTTATGGATTCTCCGTGTGATAGTCATTGGGATGCAGTTGTTCGCATTCTTCGGTATATAAAATCAGCTCCAGGCAAAGGTTTATTGTTTGAGGATCGAGGCCATGAGCAGATCGTTGGATACTCAGATGCTGATTGGGCAGGATCACCTTCTGATAGACGTTCTACTTCTGGATATTGTGTCTTAGTAGGAGGAAATTTGGTATCTTGGAAGAGCAAGAAACAGAATGTGGTTGCTCGGTCTAGTGCATAATCAGAATATCGAGCAATGACTATGGCGACATGTGAGCTAAGTTGGATCAAACAGTTGCTCAAGGAGTTGAAATTTGGTGAGATTAGTTAGATGGGACTTGTGTGTGATAATCAAGCTGCTCTTCATATTGCGTCAAATCCATTGTTCCACGAGAGAACTAAACACGTTGAGATTGACTGTCACTTTGTCAGAGAAAAGATACTCTCGGGAGATATTGCTACAAAGTTTGTGAAGTCGAATGATCAACTTGCAGATATTTTCACCAAGTCTCTCACTGGTCCTCGTATTCACTACATATGTAACAAACTCGGTACATATGATTTATATGCACCAGCTTGAGGAGGAGTGTTAGAATAATTATGTAACCCTAATCCCATATGTATTAGGAGTAGGACATGTTATGTATAGGGCTCATTGTATCATGTTTAACAGATGAGAATAATATCAATTATATTTTCTTCCGTGCATTCTCACACTCTTTAACAAGTTTCTTATATTTGAATTTTCTTCTTTTCTTGGTTTGTCCTATGTGTCTTACTTTTTCCTGTGCCTCAAGCTACATCTTAATTTGAATGTCAATGAATTGGTCTGCTACTTGCTTTCTCTTTCCAATTAAAATGTAGAAGAGTTCATTATCTCCTTCTCGGAAGACTACTTCTTTTAGACTTAAGCATATTGTCAGTCTGTGCAGGAAAGACAGGATTAGGAATGAAGTTATTAGGGACAAGGTAGGAGTGACATCTGTGGAGGACAAGTTGTGGGAATCGAGGTTAAGATGGTTCGGGCATGTGAAAAGGAGAGACATAGATGCTTCGGTCAGGAGTTGTGAGAGGTTGTCCATGGCGGGTCTGAGGAAGGGAATTGGTAGGCCTAAGAAGTATTGGGGAGAGGTAATTAGGCAGGACATGTTATTGCTTCAGCTTACTGAGGATATGACCCATGATAGGAAGGTGTGGAGGTTGAGGATTAGGGTTGTAGGTTGACAGATAGTAGTGTACTTTCTTATTCATGGTTCTTTATTATTACATGCTGTGTCATTCGCGCCCGTTACCATATTATATTGTTGTTACTATTGTTTGCTACTTGGTTGCTTTATCTCCACTATTCCTTGAGCCGAGGGTCTATTGGAAACAACCTCTCTATCTTTATGAGGTAGGGGTAAGGTCTGTGTACACACTACCCTTCCCAGACTCCATTTATGGGATTACACTGGGTTTGTTGTTGTATGTATTGCTTTTCTTAGAGAGAGAATGAGTCCGTTGAGACCCAAAACTATTTGGCATTTTCTGTTTTGCTTATTTGAAACTTCTTGCGGGTCATGTGCTTCTCTTGATTTCTCCTGATTGCCTTTTTTTCTTTTTAAGGTTTTACAAAGTGGAGTACCCAAAGCAGATGAGATCATTTTGTATAACATGGCTCTTGCGTTGGATCGTATTTTTGTGGATGTGAAGGTAGTCCTCTTCCATTTGGGTTTTACAATTCACACTAGAAGTTGGGATCTGTATCTTTGTTTTCTTACTTCAGTCATGCACACGTGTATTCTGTCAAGTTGTTAAAATGCGACATCGTAAATGTGGCAACACCCTTGTTTCAGGATGCTTTTGAGTTCTCGCCACATCATAAGGCCATTCGTGAACCTTTTGACTATTACAAGTTTGGCCAAAATTATATCCGCCCTTTACTTGATTTCAGGTCAGTCTCAATTTTATTATTGTTGCGTTAAAGATCATGTAATAGTTTGATTAACTTAAAATTAGTGTGGTTCTTTTGACCTGGTTAACGACTGAATTCATAGGCATTATTCGTGTAAACAACATAAAGATATCCTCTGAACCGGGTGTGGTCCACATATTTTTGTCACTGTATCCACCAGCCTGTTGAGATCAATAAATTCAGACCTGGCCTGCTCTATATGGCCTCTTTATACCTGGTAGATAATGGAACGATGTAAGGTACAGATAAGCTAGTACTAGTTCATAAAAGGTTGGCAGGTGGGGGAATATATGTGAGAATAACATGTTGCAAATTTAGGTTGAGAGACTGAGAGTAAAACTACTGAAATTGCTTATATCTGAAGGGGAAAGGGATTATGTCATGTTAGAATAGTTGTCCTAATGGCTATAGAAAATCATTTTGATCATGATGTAAGGGATAGCTAAATTGTTTGCATTTATGTACAGGGAAAATATCTTTTGTTATTACCCTAATTATTTCCTCATTGCAGTTGTAAGTTTAATAATGTTATTTTCTCTATTGGTTGGGAAAATTCTCCATCTATTTTTAGCTGATGGAAAGAGCTAAGTCATTGCTCTTTTCTGATGAACAATTGGTCATGTCCTAATATCTATTCATTATTTTTACCCGGTGATGATTAGCATGCCTCATAGTATTCCTGCAGTAAGAAGAATGACACAATCGAAGTACTGTGCGCCTAACAATCTATCCATTCGATTGGACCTTATTCCATTGATTTTATGATCCAAATACGTATATTTAGAAGCTACATAAAAATTATTTTGGACTTTTAAGTTTAAAAATATAAAACACTGAAAAGAAAATCATAATTAAAGAAAAATGTTATTTGACTCTTCAAATAGTAATATGTGAAACAAAAAGGGATAGAGGGAGTATGTTGGTTTTGGTGACATATCTAAGGAGGAGCAACCTATTATAGTTTTCTAAATTTGATTTGTGCGTTGCATCTCTGCCCTTCCGGGGTAGGGGTAAGGCTGCGTACATCTTACCCTCCTTAGATCCCACTTGTGGGAAACTACTGGGTTTGTTGTTGTTGTTGTTGCTTTGTGCATTGCATGTCATGGCTTTACTGGTATGTAGATAGAGATTTTGGAAGAGATGAAATAATAAATCTCCTGAAAGGAGGAACAATTAACAAAAAACCTTACAAATTGAGGTGTTGTAGTCGTTGTATGAACAACTTAATCACCACATAGTGGTGCTAGTACTTAAGTTGATGTATCTATTTGACTGTTTAATAGCTAGTTTGTGTTTTAGCACTTCACTGAGTTGTGTGGGTCGATTTACCAAGTGACAAGTCCATGCTTTCCCATTAGCATTTATTGATGGTTAGCTATTCATGTAAAATTGCTATAATGTGGGGATGTTACTCCTCTGTTAAATAGTGAAGTTGCACATTTTTGAATTGTGGAATTGATAGGAAATTCAAAGTCTGTATTGCTTGACAGATAAGTATGATGTTACATTGTCTTTCATAAAAAAGGTATGATGTTAGATGGTTGTGTTGTTCAAGGAATTCACTATGCCTCTACCAGGGGCCGCTGATGAACAATATCTCTATTATGGATATGCATGGCTCGTTTATTAGAAAATTTTTAATCAGCTTTAGAGAATACATTTCAAATGTGGTTAATAGCAAGCTCTTTGGCCTTTTGCATTGAAGTAAACAACCTTGTGCCCTGCAGATCATGATTTATTTCTGACTCTAACCTCTAGCATTCTTGACTTTTTAGGAGTTCTTATGTTGGCAATATATCAGTTTTTGGTGAAATAGAAGAGAAGCTCAAGCAGGTTCATTATTTCAGACTTTCAGCGTGTCACTATTTATTATTTTCTTCTGTGCGTGTGATAGTATGAATAAGGGGATAGCTATATTGCTTGGACTGCACATAAAGTGAAACAGTTGAATTGAAACTTTATACTTTCCATGAGATCTCACTTGAGACCTGTCATGAAATAATCAGCCCAAGCATAAAACACTTTTGTTGTTCTTGTACTGGTTGGGCTCTGCTTCCATGTGGCTCTTTAAGTGGTTTTGGTAAATCAGATGAAAGGTTTTGCCAACTGAAGTTGGCATACTATCTGCTAAACAATTAGAGCTCCTTCATGTAAATTTCCTTGAATAATCAAGTAATGCTGGAAAAAATTTCTGGAGCACATTCTCAAAACATGAGCTTAACGTGGCTTTGCTTTTTACACCCCTTAAAGGATTTGCCTAACTGGATGTACTAGATAATGTTTCCTAATTTCCTCCCTATTCAGCAGCTTCCTTGGTGGGGATGAATGTCCCTAAGACTTTGTAACTACTTAGCTTTAATATGTTATGTATTTAGTTGAATTATATTAATGTTCCTACTTCAGAGCTTCTATTATCTTATGCCGGTTTGTCCGTCTCTTTAATGAAAAAATTTAGATGTCTTTCTCATTTTATGCATTTCGTCTTTCAAAAGAAGTTACTTGCCAGTTAGAACTATGTGCTCTCCTTATCCATCAAAATTATATGCTCATTATTAAAAAGAGACACGAATAAATAATCTTGGCTCAAGATGTTGTGGGTGGACCAGCTATTTATTTATCACCTGGATATTCGCTGGTTTACGCCTAAAAGGATCTTCTTATAAAGTTGAATATTCTTCTTCGATGCTGTATAGCACTAACTATATATGGAGAGCTCTTGAGTGCTTGCGGTACAATTTGTCCAGAAGAAAGATTAACAATTTTATAACAAAAGAAAAAAAAACCTTACTGTGAAGTCTTAGTTCTTTTCTTGATATTTCCTTTTCGTACTCCGTTTACTGTTAAAAAAGCTCAAACTTGTTAGTCGATATGTTTGCCCTGTTCTTCTGTTTGTTTCTTTTATTTTTTTGGATAAGGGGACAGTTCTTCTGTTGCATGGCTTTTTATATTTTATCTTGATCCTTTTGCTGTTGTCCTAACTGAATCAGTATCTCTCTATACTAATTTCAGGGCGATAATGTTGTTTTGATGTCAAACCACCAAAGTGAAGCAGATCCAGCGGTTATTGCTCTGTTGCTTGAATCGAAGCACCCATACATTGCTGAGAACATAGTTAAAATCATTTTCACCCAATTGCACTTTATAAGATAACTATACCTCAAGCAGCTTAATTAACTAATCTATGCTTACTGGTAAACAGATCTATGTTGCAGGAGATAGAGTTATTACTGATCCTCTTTGCAAGCCATTCAGCATGGGAAGGTGCTTAATTAGATAAGTAGCATTGTCAAAGTATGTTCAGAAATCACATTTACTTTAGACAGCTGACAAGCTTTTTATGTCTAGGAATCTCCTGTGTGTTTATTCGAAAAAACATATGGGTNCATTTACTTTAGACATCTGACAAGCTTTTTATGTCTAGGAATCTCCTGTGTGTTTATTCGAAAAAACATATGGGTGATGACCCCAAACTTGTCGAGAAGAAAAAGAGAGCAAACACAAGAAGCTTGAAGGAGATGGCTGTGCTATTGAGGTACTTATGCTGCTAGTACTTTGTCCTTTTTGGAGTATTTTGATGAAGCTTTTACTTTGCAAGTTGTGCCAGGTAGTCTCGGGGTTCCATTCTGGAGACACTATTACCAATATTATCTGTGCCAATCTCTAATCAAGATTGTCTCTGCTAAGTTTTGTAAATGAAACGGAAGATTCTCTCTTTAAAGTCTATGCGTAGTGGACATGATTAAAAATGGCAAGCTAAACCTAATATTGCATGTGTGGTCCTATTTTTTCAATCTCGTCTCATCTTCTCTAGCTATTGAAAAAGCTTGTTTTATTAGATGTTTGATAGTTCATTTTCATGAGGGAGTTCAACCCCACTTGATTAATCTGCCTGGAAGAAAACCAAAGAGCAAGTTGTGGTAAAAATGATGTCTAATGTGGAATGTGTAGTAGATACTACAAATATGATAGACGGAGGTTTCCTCATGAATATGGATATGTGAAATTCAATTATCGTCCACCATATGACTGCTTTACCGGGTTCATACTCTAAGTCCTAAAGTGTTGGGTGAGTAACTGAATGCCATCGTTCGCATAATAATACAAGAGAACATCTTAGGATATATATACTTTTGGCAATTCAAGATAGCCCATTATTGCCCCATTTGATGGAAGCATACATCTGAGGATACGTGTACTTGTGGTCCAGGGGTGGATCAAAACTAATATGGATTGCTCCTAGTGGTGGAAGAGATAGGCCAAACCCTATTACAAAAGAATGGTATCCAGTAAGATTTCTTTTTTGATTTCGATTATTGTTCTGTTTCCCTATATATTAGTTTTTACATTCTATTTTGATGGATGTACATTTTATAAGCGTGGCCAAAATCCTTTCATGATAATGTATTTTCTCAGTTTCATTCTATATGATTTGAACGAAGGGGAGTTTCAGATGTTAATTTGGCTCTGCATTTTATTAGTGGTAGTAGAGGAAAAAAATATAATGGTTTAACAGTTAGTTTGATAAAGAAAACATCACAGAAAATTTGAAATTGGAATAGTAAAATGAATTTGAATTGTTGCATGTTGTACAAAGTAACAATACCAGTGGAATGGTGAAAACACTTTGGGAAGTCCCAAAGTAGAAAAGCTGTTATAAATTGAAATGGAGGAAGTATGTGTTATTGCCGTATTCATTCTTTTAATTGATTCTTAATACCTTTGGGGGAAATATGCTTTCCCTGCCTAGGCAACAGGGGAAGGCTCCCACATATTCTGGATTACATCTCATGCCAATTTGCATAGGTAACCGACTGTATGAAAACTAAAAAAAATAAGCAACTAAAAATGTTAGTGGGTTGACGAATTGTTGCTTTACACAAATAACTAATATTACTTGAATTATAAGTAAAAGAAAAGGCTAACTAGCTTTTGTCCAGGAAGCACAACAAAAGAATAGTAGTAGGCAGAAGCAGCGGTAAGAAGGCCGATGTCAAGTGAAATAAGTAACAATAGCATTCAGTTGTCTTCACAACAGGGCAACAACCCTGATTTCGCTAACTGAGGCCGTGAGCTGTAATGTTTCTTCCTTGGTTGAGACCACCAGATTGAAGGAAACCCCTGCACTATCTGCATTAATCGCCTTTTGTGCATAAGATGTCACTTTGTTTTATATGTCACTTGATGGCTTCAGTAGGAGCTTTCCCTCTCTTTCCCGTCTGTGCTTTCCTCTCCATCTTTCCCTTCTTTGAATAAAAAAACCAGGAAGTCAGCCAGTCTTTTCTAAATAAGGGTAAGTGCCATCTAAAGAAGTTCATCCGCTGATTAAATAATTTGCTGCTCTTGATTGCTTCTCGCTAGATGAACTTCTTTAGAGGGTAAATTAGAGTTGTCCGAAGTATTGTGTCAACAATTTGTGTTCCTGACAGTAGCCGCTTCCTAGGTGAGGTTGTTCATACGGTAGTAACTTTTAAGGCAGAGTTAACTGTTTTTATCCTCTTGATATAGCAAAGGTACATACTACGGTTTACTGCTTCTATTCAGTATGTTCGGCAATAAACATCTCCATTGCATTTGCCTTGTGACAGTTCTAGGATAATGTTAGCTCTGGCAATTTCTCTTTTTTCTCTTAGCATGTAATATATCTATATATAGTGTGTACCTATGTATGATGAACAATTGGTTTCAAAAGTTTTGGTATTTATGAACCTTGCTTTAATTAAGAGATGCTTTTGTTATTGTATCCAAATTAGCCAAGGATCCATATAGGTAATACCAACTAGTTGGGACTAAGCTAATTATTTGTGAAGGGATAAGTGGGAGGTTTAGAGAACCCATAATCATATAACGGGTTCCAACTGATCAGAGACTGATGCATAGTTGATTGATTGATTAAGCTAAATATTTGTGAAGGGATAAGTGGGAGGTTTAGAGAACCCATAATCATATAACGGGTTCCAACTGATCAGAGACTAATGCATAGTTGATTGATTGATTCTGTCCAACGTGCGGTTGACTCTTTTTGCTTGTCTTTCTTGAGGCGCCATTTGATGCTTCCTCAACAGACAACATGAGAAGGCTTGTAGAACATGCTGGTGTCCCTGGTCACATTTATCCTCTAGCAATATTATGCTATGATATTATGCCCCCTCCGCCCCAGGTTGGTTTATGTGACAACTATGTTTGTTTCTGTAATGACTTGTACATTTTTATATAGCCCTGCTTGCTTACGTACAGGTTGAGAAAAATATTGGAGAGAAAAGAATAATATCTTTTCATGGAACTGGCATATCCGTGGGGCCCAAAATTGATTTTCATGAGGTTGCTGGTGCTTTGGAAGACTCTGAAGAGGTTGGTTGCTAGAGGTTCATTTCGTTTAATTATTGGAAGCTCTTTTTGGATTAAATTCTGCAGCCTAATGAGAGGTTTAGTGAATATTTGTTGGGAGACTTGAGGGAACTTATTGTATTTAATACTCAAGCTGGCGTGGACACCGCCATCATTTAAAGAGAAAGTAAAAAAAAAAAACTATTTTGATCTAACAGAGAATGAAAGGAGAAGGAAAGTTGGACAAAAATCCACTTTTCATATGCATTTTCTTTTTCCTATTTGAGACCAAATTAACAGGTGATCAAAATGAACGTTTTTGATCTTTGCTAAGACCCGTGTTCCTAGAAGTTTTGACTCCTTCAGTTGAGCTATTCTCTTGACGGTGGAAAGTTAAGAAGAAAAGCTCCACAGCAACTATCAGTGTGCAAGTAAAACATTTATTGGACACTGTTTTTATTTTATTCATTTCTTGTTAAGTTATTTCTGTAAACTGAAGCTAAATATGCATTTGTAGCTTGCTGAGGACTGTGAAATCTGTTTCCATATCAAAAGAAGCAAAGATGGAAATTTATGATCTTTTTTATTCTTTAACAAACAAGACTGAAATGTACCTTCTAATGTGCTAATAAGAAAATTATAGTATTCCATGGAATTCAAATGAATGATGAATTTTCCTGGAGTGTTAAATAATGTAGGAAGTTGGTGAGACTTCAGTTCAACTAATTTCCAATATAAAGCCACCTCCTTTAGGTGTTAACTGACTTGTTTGGCTGTCAACCTTCATTCCTGTGTTTTCTCTTTTATTTTAAGCTTACCAAAGCTGTTCGGCTGCTGTACTTGGCAGTTGTACAATTTGTTTTTCTACCTCTTTCTATGGCTTCAGTTTTCTGTTTCAAAATTCTTCTCCTCTTCCCACAATCTCTCAGCCCTTTAGCTCAAACATTCTTCTTTTGTCGCTCTTTTCTGTCATTCAGTAAAGAAGATGGTTTAACTAATTTCACTGCTTTCCGACCTGAAGCTCAAACATTTCCCACTTGCCTCTGCTTCCTATCGATCATTAAAGGAAATGATTTCACCAATTCACTGTATTCTTTCTTTTCACAGTAAGAATTCTCTGTAATGTTCTATTTCCATGGGTTTTTCTATCTCAGATTGATGTCCCATTTTACAGCCCAAGATATGCATCTTATTTTTATGAGATGCCGCTGGGACTTTTGTTTTCTTTCAATCAACTGTCATCATTCAAAGCTGCTATTTCCTCCCCCCTCCTTCCAAATAGTTGGGGAAATGCATTGTGGTTGGTCTTTTTGATCAAGGAAATTGGAGATGAATCCACGAAAGCTTTAGAAAACTGCACCTAATGTGAAGGGCTTAAGAGTGGATACTGTTCTTAATGCAGGCTAAGCTGGTCTACACAAAGGCACTTTATGACTCTGTAAACCAGCAGTACAACGTGCTAAATTCTGCTATAAATGGCAAACAGGGACAGGAGGTATCAACTCCCAGCGTTTCATTATCACAACCATGGCAGTAGCTTCTGTTCCAACTTTATTTTCCATACCTTGTTGCTTCAGTCAGGTTTGTTCGTCACCCATAAAAATCTGTTGAATAAATTTAGAACTGGAACATTTGGCTTATATCGTCGTGTCTCTGTATGTCTCTGAATTACACTAGTTTGCAGATGTTTGTTTGGAAGTTATAATCAAATCACAAGGATAACACTCACAAACTATGCCACACTTTGCGCTTGCATGTGGTTGGTCTATGCGGAGAGTTGTCCAATTGATACGAACAAGTAGTTCTTGAAGTTACAGCCTACATACCGAAGGAAATTTTTTGGCAGGGCTTAGATAATTCTTTTGACACGAATGTATAGTTAGTTACTTTTACCTTGTATCTACTACATGTTGGATCTGAATCTATTAGCAATGATAGCTTTCAAGCACCGTCAATTCTGACCTTTTAAGTAAGTACGTAGGTATCCTAGATTGCTCATCTTACCTTAGAAGCGGTACTCCAATTTGTTCGGAAATATAATAAATGCTCTGCAACAGTTCTGCTTGTTTATAGTTTCTATAACTGTGAGATGCTGTTTGAACTACATTTGATGCAGCGCTAAATGTAGTCAGATTTAGTTTCAACGGCAGTGGCTATTAACCTATTTTCCTTCGATTGGTAATCCAGGATGCAGATGGAAGCATCCTGGTCACCCCTTTTATCAATTAAATCGAAGAGGAATGGTAGCTACAATGAGCCTCTCGAACCCCTAATGAAAGCAGAACTTGAAAGGCCCTTTAGCTTGATACGTAGTGGAACTGAATATGATATCCACAAGAGCATGCATGTATTGCAAACGGTTGTCGTGCCTCATTCTGTTGTCTCTCCCATGTACATATTTGTTCATCTTTCTCCACCTCACCATCTGCTTCCTTGGTTACCCCTACATTCCTTTCTTTCACGTTACGTTAGCAGCGGGCACTGCAGTGTTCTTTTTGGTAACTGTTAAGAATAATGAATTTCAGAGGAAGAAGGATCTAACTAAAGCTAAGCTAAGCTAAGAAGAGAAGAAAATAATACAAATAAGATAAAAGGATTTTTCATTCATACCTTCAAATGGATACAAAACAGAATATATAGAAGCCCTAACAAAGACACGGGTCTAACTTCAACTATTAAAATAGTAATGGGGCAACTGTGTAATTAGAGAAACTAAAGGAATCAAAATGCAAAGAATGAAAATGTGGCACTTCCAATTTAAATTGTATCAGATCCCTTCCCTTCAAATCACCCTTGTCCTCAAGGGTGACATTACCATCGGGATCACCAATTATAAGATATCTCCCTAAAACTAGGAAATCTTGAAATTTAGCAGTAATAGACATCAACCATCCTGCTGCCCTGTCTGGAATAGCACGTCCCTTCCGTGTTAGCATCAGATGGGAAACAAGATTTCTCATAAAGTTTGCTCTCAAACAACTTCAGAAGGAACTCCACCCTTGAGGCAATAAATTTGGTGTTCTTTGGAATTGATTGAATGACAATTTGTATCCCATTAACAAAACAACCACTTCTTTGCCAAAGCACAATGATATAACAGAGTTGCTCAACTGATCTAAGCTGGTGGAAAGCAGACTGCTCTGCTACAAGAGCAAAAAACTAAAATCTGACATTCAGCACAAAGTCATGACGCACATGAATAAAATGGAGTGTACCAAGCAGTCTCCACTTAATTTTATCCGTTAATGAGGCATGGACCAATGAAACACACAAGAGTGAAAGAGGGAACAACAATTCGCATTATTTCGTCACCATTTTCACAATACAGTTGTGATTTTTCAGTTGTAGGAATCACGCTAGCAACTAGATTTTGCATAACTTCAACTTGCAAGATTTTTGCACACCTGAGTTCTCTGTGAACTAAGTTCCTCATAGCTATCCACAAGGACAAACATCCTAACATAAAGCCTGATATTCTTCATCTTTTTCCAGGCGTCAAAAAGATCGAGAAGAACTCCCTTGGAACTAAAAACTCCAACCGACCATGTAAGACTTTGGGCCAAAGGCACAAGACATCTGAAAGCTTTGTACACCCTTCCTGAAGCTCCATTTCTAGTTACGTTAGTTTCATCTAAGCCATCATGTCTTTCAAATTCACTTAAACCAAGACTATGGAATGATGTCCACTTTGATATGGTGATTCCTTTCATAATATTCTTGAGTTTCTGGTGCTTCCAAAGGAACATAGCACTCCCAATAAGACAAATAAAGCAAGCAACTATATAAATAATTCTAGAATCCCACAAATATCCTTCATGACTCCCTTCACATTTGGGAGGACAAAGTTCATACGAACAGAGAGAATTTAGGATTGAAAGGAGCTCAAACCAGGAAACGAAAAGGGAAAATAAAAGATAAAATAACTTATTGATTTCAATTGATAGCACTGTCACTGCATCTATACTGATGTAATTGGATGCTCCTGAACTCATATCAATCATTATCGTACCTCCTTGACCAAATAGATCATATTTCTTGTTCTGACAGAATTGAATGAAATAATTGAGCATCATAGTTACTACAGCAGCTAGGAGAAAGGTCCTCAAAGGTACACCACTTTGCCACCATGGGATAAATTCAAAGATCTTTGGAGGATCTATGTCAAGAGAATTCCTAACAGTTTCATGAGTACAATCTGTAGCATCAGCCTTCGCCCATGTAGGTGAGCAGGCCTCTACTATAATAAAATTCATCTTTCCAGTAGAATTAGAACCTGGGATTGCGATAAGATTAACTCAGCTACATTTTTCTCATTCATAATTGTTGTAGCAAAGATCTGATCTAAGGACGAGGACAAGGACAAGGGCAAGGGAGCCTTGAGATTGCAATCCACCATCAAAGACTTGCTCCATAGTTCAGCAACTTTTCTTTTGAAGTTCAGATCACAAATTTTGTCCTTCCCATAAACTCCAGATGCAGCAACATTCATCCCAATGATCACTTCTTCAGTATAACCTGATTTGTCAGTAGCTGTTTTGAGCAATGCAAAACCCTCGTTCTCCTCATTGGCTAATACGCCAGTCATCACTGCAGTTCCATTAACAACAGTTTTATCAGGATCAACCATATCATCAAGAACAGTTGGTATTAGTGTTGAACCACCAACAGAAATCACCTCTGGAATATCACTAAATGAGAATCTAGTATCTCTCAAGACATCTTGAACAAGGTTTTTAAATTTGTCAAGCAGATCTGAACAAGGTATTTCAAATTTAGTCAGATCTGAACAAGGTATTTCAAATTTAGTCTGTGTAAAAGTGGTTTCAACAGGTTTAGGACCATCCACCATGGTTCCATCCTTCTTGAAACATACAACAAGCTGAACATCAACTCTATTATCAAAATCACCAGCACCAAGATGAGTATCACCTTTAACAGTAGTCATATTCTCTTTGTTACTGATCGAGCTTTTCACCATATTAGAGAAATCATTAGAAAGTGAACTTTTCTTCTTTTTCTTCTTTACAGACTTGGAGGTTGCTCTAGTTCTGCGTACTGCATTATTAACCATAAGAGAATATTGAGTACCTTTGTGCCTTGGATCAGGGCCAATTCTGCAGCTTCTAGGATCAGCAAATACATGCTCTAGCAGCTGGCTACGATCCCGAACAGGGCTTGCATCTGCAAACTCAACCTCTTTAACCAACTTGTCAATCTTCTTATCTATACCTTTTAACTCCACCTCACTGGTCAGATTTTCCTCAGACATATACTTCTTCCAAGTAGTGATAGGATCTTGCATGACATGATGATTCTTTTCAGCTACTACAGCAGTAGCTACAACTGCAGGAACATGAATAATGTGATTGCTAGCATTGTTGTTCAACACAATATTGATTGCCTCAGGCCTCTCATCGATCAAGGGACAATTTCTTTGTTCAATCTCCCTCTTCTTGACCTCCGCCATGACAAGATAGGTGTGGTCATCCAAATTCCTCTTAGTTTCCCATGAATCTTTAATTTCCCTCAGTTGAGAAGATAATCGTTGAACTTGTCTATCTTGCCTCGAGCTTAGGCTAGTCATTTGCAACGCAAGCTTCTGCACCATTTCCTTAATCTCATTCATTTTAGGAGAAACTGATTAATCAAAAGGCTCCCCTATTTCATTAACTGACATTTCATCAAACATCTTGTGCGCAGTCACATCAAGGGGTGAGGGGCAGACAAACTTGTTCTCTTCCTTATTAGCTCCATGTTCTTCTAAGTCAACCTCCAAATCCAAATTCATACTACTACTATCCTTGTTGTTTGCAACTATGACATCTAAGATAGAAGTTCTAGGGACACAAACCTCCTGAGAAGAGATAGTATCCGCTCCAAATTCACAGATAGGGGAATTGTTGGTGAGGTGTGGATGATGAACGACATAAGTTCTGCTTGGTCTTTCTTCGTTGAAGCTGGTGTTACTGGGGATAACAGTGGGATTCACCTCATCAATCCAAAGGTCTTTTGGAGAGAAATGAGAAATAGAAGTGCTGACAGGAGACTGTTGCCAATGAAATGACACAGGAGGAGTAGGATGTTCAAATCTACAGTTGGGGCCTATCATTCTTGTGTCTGCGACGGAACCCATAGCCGCAGCTCCTTCCGAAACCCCGCCTGAAGTCCAAAAATTAGGAACAGCAACAGCAACATCTGACGGCTGGTAGATACAAGGGACATGTTGGGCACTTGAGACTTGCCAAGGATGCTGTGGACTGAAATTAGAAGTGTATAGAGGAGGTGTTTGATTGAAATGGTGTTGATACCCCATGTTTGTAGCCCAATATGCTGTATTACAATGACCATAAGAATCAGTACCTTGTGCATAACTGAAATTTTGTGACAGAACTTCAGGTCTAGGAGCTGGAATATGGGTCATTATAATAGAACTAGGAAAGCATTGGATTTAGTGGTGAGAAGAAAAGTCCATGTCCCTCTAGTATAATCGCCAACAATAGTAAGGAAGTATCTATAACCATCATAAGTTAGAGTGTGATAAGGTCCCGTGTGTTTATATGTATGAGATCAAATATATGCTTAGAAGTGATAGTACTAGAAGGAAAAGGTAATTTTGTCCGCCTAGCTTTTGAACAAATATCTCAAGGATTAATGGAAGAATCAGTAGATGGTAAAGAGATAGAAGGAATACATTTCGTATTTGAAAATGGCATATGGCCCGGTCTAGGGTGCCAAAGTCTTACATTAGAAGAAACTGCTCCTAAACATAAAGTAGAAGAACTTAGTGCAGTAGCACTTTGATTACAAATAGAATGGTTAATAGCCTTGATTAAACTAGAAATAACTAATCTAGGCTTTACTTGACTTGTAACAGCAGAGTTGAAAACATAGATCCCTCGACTGACTTTACCAAGCACCATTAGCCTCTTCAGTGAAGGGGCCTGCAAAGTACCACCAAAAGAAGAAAACATTAGGATGGAGTGGAATTGTAGACACAATTTGTGCACAGACAACAAGTTGTAATTGAAGCTAGGAACAAACAGAACATGGGTGAGGATAAAACCAGGCAGAATTGTGAAACATCCTGATTTGAATACCAATACCTTGGCTGAGTTAGGTAAGGTGACACATATAGGTTTATGAAGAAGCTGCACATTAAATAGAAGTGCTAAATTGGAAGTCATGTGTTCTGAAGCTCCTGAGTCTAGTATCCAGGATATTGAATTTAAAGAAACACTAATATAGGTTTTTAGAAGAAGGAGAAGGAAAAGAGATACCAGCACAATTTGTAGAAATTGTGTCATCAGTGGGCTGATCTGTCTGAGTACCAAGTTTGACAGTCTGAAGCAACTGATATAGGTTGTGAAATTGATCTTGGGTCATTGGTTGTGCTCTATCGCGCCCCCTTTTTCTCGCGAAATCGGGCTTGTGACATTTGGGAGGACAACTCGTTCTCTCTTGGGAATTGGGTTTTGGAACTTGAAGAGTCGCCACCTAATGATTAAGTGCATTAGGACACTAAGAAGGGTTTGAGTTTGAAGAACCATAGTTCGGGTAAGGGCTAGAAATTATCTCGAGGGGAAGGTGTTAGACACCCCTCAAGATCCACTAATGTGGTTCCCGGCCATGTTACAATTGTGACTTCACATAATCAAGTAAGCAATTAAGGGCCTCAAATAGAAGGTGATTTTCACATCTTATTGCAAGCAAATTGAAAGTTTGAAGAGAATAAGGAAAGCAGAAATAGTTCGGACAATAAAATGGGTTAGAAGAAAAAGGGGTCATAGGTTTACAAACAATATGGATCATATCAATGCAACAACCGACAATCGCTCCTCAAAAGAGGGGTTACACGTGCTATTAGCGCACCGGTCATCATATCCATATCTACCCTCCCCACCCCGTTAAGGTAGTAAAGCGCAGAATGGTGTCGTTACTTATTGCATGCTAGTACTCGCCCCAATCCTATCAGTCCCGGAGGCATTTGGGACTACTAGTCCTAAAGGGAAGGGAAATTTGGGCTTTGTATGGTTTAAAAGGATAAAATTCTAAAGCGACAATGAAAAACACATAAGGCGGATATGGGAAACACATAACAATTTAAAAGGCTCAGACATGCCTCCTCACTTAAAGACAAATTG